GTAACAGTTTGGTGGGCCTTATCGGGAATGGAACGATCATGTATGGGCGTGTGCGTTGCCTGTGCGTGTGTTTTCTTGCGTGTGCGTGTGTGTTTGTGTCTTTTTTTTTTTTTTTGTGTTTTTATGTCTGTCTGGCTGTCTTTGTTCAAAACACTATTTTATTCCTCACAGCAACTTGGCGCAAGTGAGATCTGACAGACTTGTAAAGATTGTCTGATGTTAAGTCATGCATGTAGAGATTCAAATGAAAATGGTACCTAAATGTACTGGGAGGATAACTCTATCAAGACATATCATGAAACCCATGATTAAATATTCATACTTCAAACAGTACAACTTTTGGGACATTTTTTCTGACTTATTCTGTATAAGAGAGAGGTTTCAATAAAAACGTGCTTTATATAGATGTATTTTAAATTTGAACCATGGTGTTTCATACCTTGTGCTGTACATGTAACACCTGCACCTTTCCCAGAATGTGGGCATTCAGAACCCACATCACTGTAGCTACATTGAAGAAGATGGTCCTCTAACCCTGTACAAGTCAACTCATCATAAGCAGATGCATTCCCAGCGTCACCAAAGTATCCCGATAGTAATGCTAGATCAGCTCCAGTATAATTCAGATATTTACAGATGACAGTCGCATCTTCGATTCCCCAAAGGCTGTCACAAATTGAAGCTAAAGGGAAGCCGGTTGATATCACTTCAACTCGACCTTCAGATTCATACGTACCATCTACAAGACGATAGGTTGTCGTGCCTGTAGAACAAACAAGCGACATAGGAATGAATTGATGATAGTCATTAATTACTGGTACTTGGTTAATGAGATGGTTCTTTTGTTCAGGGCTTGCACTTGCTCGCAACTCTCCCTTCAACATGTAAACTCTCTAACCAAGTGTCAATGTATTTATTCATTAAAATCATAATCGATAAAGCTGGTGCTATTTGGTTGATTTAATGTATTAAATGTTTGTGACTGTGATCACGTCTTAACCCTAAAAAGGCCGGGCTATTTGAGGTCTTAGTAGGGCCGGGGGGGGGGGGGCATTATGGCTCCCCTTAAGATCTCAGCTGCAAAGCGGCCGATCGCCACGAAAATTTGCACACATGGCAAGTGAAGTGTATAGAATAATATGATAATTTCAATTTTTTGAAAAATTCACTCATTTGCATATTTATGGTAATTTATGCAAATAAAGTCATACAAATCACATTTGTACCTATAAATCATATATTATTCATATTTAAGCATTCTTTTTCACTACATATATTCATTAGACCATTCTGAATAATAATACGACAACAAATTTCGGAAAAGCCAGCTTATTCCTTATGTTATCCTTTGTTTTGATATTTTCTTATGTATTTCATTGTTTTTTTTAACTTATGTATTTCATTGTTTTTGTTGTTTTATTTCATTTCTTACTACAATTTAACTATTTTGACTCCCAAAACAACCACCTAAACTTTAAACAAGACCCAATAACCCATGTTTGATCTGTTTTTAGGAAAAATGACTTTTCCATATGTTTTGTACACAAATCACGAAAATGAGCGATTTTCGGGCTGACATGCAAAGACGAAAGGTCGCGTGACCTTGTAACCGTAGGTCCGATTTTCAAAAAAATTCTTTTAAAAGTTGCGCAAGACTCGAAAAAAAAAAGTCAGCGAGCGGCGGGGCGCCATCCATATGCGTTCTCGAGCAATCAGAAAAATCGTGGAGGGGGGCATAATGCCCCCCTCCCGGCCTTATTAGAGTTAATGAAGATCATGAAACTTATTTTCTCTGTCTCACAGTAGTGAATAAAGGGAAAAAAAGCTATAAAAGGGCAATGGCTAGCAAATAAGATAAGCGACCTGTTTCCTTGCAACTTACTGCTTTCCACGATTGAAATAGCTTTCATTTTCGTTTTGAAAATTGAAAACTTTTATCAAACATTCGTTCTTGCAAACAAGGCTTCCCTTATTAGAAGAACTTAAAGGCCCACTGCACTACTTGTAGCTACTTGCGCCCTCTATATAACAAACAATGACTAATCGGTGACCATTGGTCCCCCATGATCCTCCTTTTCTTATGTTAACTGAGGGCTGAGTTGATGAGATAACCACCTGTCCAGTGACCTTGCAGGGCAGTCTAATCCCTCCTATAAACTACGGCAGATAAGCTTTAAATGGGAAGGTTTTGTATTATGTTCTCTTTGACTTTAACAAGACTATTATGTGTTGGAGAGAACAGTGGTGAGTTGTTATTTGTTTGCATTAATTTGAACTGCTCTAACTCACTTGCTAGGAAGTAGAATGAGTGTCACGAGCCGTGGTCGACAAAGGTCGAAATGCTTAAAGCCCCTCAAAAGACAGTGTTGGCATCCCCAAATTTGCCAACAAATTTAATGGCAAAATTTCAATTAAATTGTATCATAATTTGAAAGAGGATGTCATTTAGAAACACTTGTACAAAGATTTTACCCCAAAATATGTTTGAAGACAAATATTGATAAAAGAATACGTAATTTGGGTTTTCTGTTGTACGCAGATTTTTTTTTTTTTTTTTTTTTTGGTATTCTTTTATCAATATTCGACTTCAAACACATTTGTTTTGAAAATCCTTTCAGAAATGTGTTTTATATGACTGCCTGATACAATTTACGTGAAATTATTGGTGCTCCCAACACTTTAGAGGAGGTTTAAGGGTTTAAAATCTACTTGATAATGTATACGAGAGGGAAATGAAGCATGATATTGAAAGGTGAGCCCTTTAAATGGCGTTGCCGTAGAAAATAATTATGTACAAGGTTGTCATTAAGTAGGCCCATTGCTGCAGTGCAATGATGTATATTTTCTGTACGAGTTTATTAAAAGGGGCTATAGTTTGCCCGGCTGTGTCCAATCCCCCCCCCCCCTTTATTTCAGCTCACAATCTATACTATCATTGTATTTTGACAAATATTGCTCAAAGAACTTGTCCGACCTAGCAACAAATCGTCTCTGCCACCTTGGGGTGTGTGTTTAATACATGGTATTTGTTGCCATAATAATGCCAGAATGTTGGTATTGCAAAATCATATTTCAATGAATCATACTCTCCTTCTCAACAGCACCCTCCCCCCCCCCCCCCCGAATATCTCTCTCTCTCTCTCTCTCTCTCTCTCTCTCTCTCTCTCTCTCTCTCTCTCTCTCTCTCTCTCTCTCTCTCTCTCTCTCTTTCAGTCTCACTTTCTCTCTTAATATATTTATCTGTCTATACAGACACACTGAACGTAACACAGAGCAGAATGATGCCTACATAAATTATGCGTGTTAATCTCACCTTGTACAGGTGTCCCTCTGTGAATGAAAGCCATACCGTAGAATATTAAGATATACATGTATACCATAGTCATCCCGCCCATCGTTTAGCTGACAGATGTATTGATGTACTGTTCTATGGTGCCGGTACTCTAGTCGGTACTCTAATGGAATAGTAGTAATTTCTCAGCTTCACCTAATGCATGCTACTCCAAACGGATCATACAGAATAATTTATCTCGCGCACGAATAGTAAAAAGGCCTTCTATTATGTCGGTACTTGTTGAATTAGCGTTTAATACCTTTGCAACCGTACCATCGCGTACCATAAAATATTCAATTCTGCATATCGGAAAAGCACACAAATGTGAAATATTATTGCGTTTTTGTCAAATCATTGTTGGTTGTGATACGGTAGGTCGCACAGTTTCAAAAGCAAACGAGACGATAAACAAACACGAAGGGGCCATTGAGAGAGGATAGAGAGAAAGAGATAGAGAGAGACAGAGAGACAGAGAGAGAGAGAGAGAGAAAGAGAGAGGAACTGTATAGGCGGCAGAGGGAACGTCACACATTTGGTGGAATAGAAAAGAAACAGAGAATCGAGATTTCATTCAGAAAGAGAGACAGAATTAGAGTGAGTCATATAGACTGACATACTGGAGAAAGACAAATATATTATACAAATACACGTATACGTAAACAGTAGTAACGTATGAGAACAAGTGGAGCATGTGTGTGCGTGTGTGTGTGTGTGTGTGGGGTGATTGTTATTATTATTATCATCATCATCATTATTTTTACTAGTACTAATGTTGTATTATTTTGTATTATATCTTTGTGTTTTGAAAAGGGAGATATAAAGGCCTCAATGTAACTGCTTTTAGATACATTCATACATGTATTTTATATCACACTTCTACTACAGGTTTAACTGTTTCATGGAAATAACGATTTCGATGTGATGATTAAAGGGACTTGGTAACTTTGTTCAGATGAGAGAAAATGGTGCTAAGGTAGTGACTTTAATGTTAGATGTACAATTAAAGATAATCTGAAAGTTTGAGTGAAAACAGACCATTAATAATGATAAAAATTGGGAAAAACTGATCTGATCGATTCCTTAATTCTCCCAACTATATTATTGCAATTTAATTACATATTAGGTGAATGTAAATCGTCACAAAGCAGGGAGTTGGCTCTATATACCATTCAAGACATTTAAGTGTTGACAGATTTTTTTAAAATCTGTCTTATATCTTATTTTCATGGAAAAACGATTGGGAAAATTCAATGTAAGAGGGTGTCGCACAGTGACACCCTCAAAGAAAACCATAAATTTTCTTGTGGTTTGAGAATTTTTTCAGGATTTTGTGCATGTTACAGGGTTAGTACAGTAGAAGGAATAAAGTACATTTATACACAAATTATGCAACTTTTTCATCAACCTTCAACAATGTTAATGAGTCACATTAATGCCTCACAAGATCCCACACTATATGTACAGCAAAACATGATTAAAGTGATTCATGTTTTGAATTTTTGTTATGAAGAGCCATATAAACACAGCCTTTGTCATAATTAGGTGATAACTTTGATTGAACATCATTTAATCCCTAATGTTGTCAATGATAGTGCTGATTGGTTGAAGTACATGCATACACAAATCAAGACACGCAATATAGAATGTGGAAAAATCAAATCAGAAATATATCAGCTTCGTCCTCTTTTATTTCAACAAATTTGCAACTGTGAAAAACAATGCCTCAATATGAATTCTTAGTCTGCAAAAAATCATTTAAATAAACTATACATTTCCTGGAGTAGTATGAATGAATTTGATTGTTTATCTCAACATGCAAACACTCTGTACACATAAATAGTTCAAACTCAATATTTCTGTTTTGTCTGAATAATGTCTGTTGAAATTAAGATAACTACTATTTTAAAGGTATTATGTCCCCTTTGCAGGGCAAACAAATGAAAAGGTTAAATTCGAACGGCATTTGAAAGATAATACTAATTTAGAACTTCCCTAACAAAAGGGGGCTGAAAATGTCTTTAAGTGGGAAAATAACGACTATTAGTTTGTGAATTTTCAGACCATTGTAAGAATGGTCGTACGTTTTGTGCTGCACAAAGATTAAATCAGCTTAAATTGGGCAATTATAAGTAGTGGGTTATTGATGTAGACAATTGCTCATGCTCATGTGAAGTCTAGCAAGTAAACGGGTTTCCTTGCATAATTTGAATATTAGGACACTGCTAATGTTAAAATTTCACAGATAGGGCAAACATGACATATTCATAATTCCTGCAATGTTCTACAGAATTTGATGTGGGCTGCAAAAGGGACATGGTATCTTTAAAGCTCACTTGTTCATACATGTACTTATTGTTGATATATCCTACATTCATCAATACCCCCAGGTCAAAGGTCAACCAATCATCAATACCATACATGTAACTGGCCTATGCCCAGATTGAAAGTACCATCATTGCCTAAAGTACTCTCAGAATTCACATTAGTGCTATGTAATACAGGATTAATGAGGTAGTAGAAAGAAGGTGTATTTACCCCCTTATATCTCTGAGTAATGATGATCATTTTCAGTAACCCTGACATATCACAATGAATTGGATATTAATAATAATAATGAATTAAGGAATGTAAATTTAGCTAAAACTTTGTTGAGAAGAAGGATAAATAGTAAACACCATTCTCTTAATAAAAAACATACATTTATTGGAGATGAGTACTGAAACTCATGAGGGGAAGTGCACTTGTTTATGATCAACATGAATTATATTTACAAATCATAACTATAATTTATCATTATCTATAAAGAATTGCCTGAGCTGTGCCTGAGCAATGGTATCTGACTGCTTAGCTTTGATAGTTTAATTGCGACAAACCAAAAAGGGTTAAAAAGTGTGAAACAGGCGACAAGCAGATGTTGATATAACCCATCATTGTAATGCCTTGAGTACTAAGTTGATGAAATAGTAAGACATGTACACGTATACATTTCCATTGTGCAAATAGTTAAGATTCATGACTTTGCTCTCCTTTGCTCAGGGTATATTTGCCAAAGCACTGAGTCATCAACTTTCTATGGACTTTTTTTAGAGGCGTGGGACTACGGTAATCTTATGTTTGTGTGCTTTTCAGGGCATACGTTAATTCTGTTAGAGCGACTTAGCATAAATACTTTCAAGACAGCACAGGGTGGCCATATTCAAGGCAAAGAGTTGGGACCTGAGAGACCTGTATAACTTCATGAAGAATCTACGATAAATGTATATAAAAGGACATCATATAAATAACAGCTGTCCAGAGTGAAGTTTTCTTTTACAAGGTTAAAATGTCAACTCTATCCTCCAGGTTGTTTTGGACAAAATTCTTTAAAGTGACTTGTAAAACTATTAAACAAATAAAATACCTTTCATCTCAATTAGGTTTCATTTGGCATTTCATTTAACATAATACCACTGCACAAATAGATCTAGCTTATACTTAAAATCATCATCTCAAAAATGTTTATCAAATCATTGGTAATTCAAGGTATTTATAAAAACACAAAGTCTATTCAGTCCATTGTAGTAAGGCGTAGAGTAGCTTGGAGACTGGAGAGAGAGAGATAATTAGATGTCCAATGAACTTTAGGCAGTCCACCCATAGCTCTGACTTCACCGTCAGTCCATTGTAGTAAGGCGTAGAGTAGCTTGGAGAGAGAGATGATCAGATGTCCAATGAACATTAGGTAGTCCTCCCATGGCTCTGACTTCACCATCAGTAAAGAGAGTAAGCCGTTTGACAAGCGAAAGATTACTTGTGAAGTTTGGTGTACCTAGAGGTTTATATGGACTTCCTGCTTTAGATGACATTGATTCGCTGTAGAAGATATAGTCCACTGTACAGTTTGTACTTGAATGATTGGTGGTGATTTCATAGTTGCCATGGCAATGATCATAGACGGAAGAAAAGAAGAAAGGATGGATGAGTTGTCCCTGGCTGTCATCAGGCAGGACACAATGATCAGCAGGACGATCTCTTGAATTCTGTCGATTATGCCTTGGAGCACCACCTGTATGCAAAGTACAAAGATAATACCAAAAATGAGAATTTACATCAATTAATCTAATAAACTTCATCTTAATAGATTAAAGTTAAAAAGATTCAGGTCAACAGCTTTTATCAATAAAAATGTTAGTCACCTATTCCCAGGCAAGAAGTGGATAGTAAACTCAAGGTGAGTTAGGATCTATTTCATAAGAAAACATCATCATATTTTAAATCTATGCAAAATAAACAACGTTTATTTTGTAACTTTGTTTCCATGAATATTAACTTTCAGTTATGCTTCTTCCATCTTACTTTCACACCTATACTCTACTTATACAAGATTTCTCTAATTATCAGGATTCAGTATCATAAGAGACATTCTAAATCACAGTTATAAGTGTTAACTTTCAGAATAATGCTGGTTTTTTATATACATTTTTTGTCATAATATTATACATGTAACTTATTTATCTGAACTTGCAATGTATTCTCGCAAGCATTATGTTATAATTGTTTTAACATTGCTATATGTTTTAAGTGCTTTTATTGTGAACTGAATGTAGTTCAGCCCGTGGGCTGCTATTTTCACTATTTCCAACAAACCATTCAGTTGATGCCCTGAGCTCATTGATTTAAATACTGAGGATTACAGCCTTAAATAGGGTAATGATGGCTGTATAAAACAGACGTGTGCAAACAGATAGAAAAACATAAATTACTTTAGATTAAAATCAAACAACATGGATATCTTATAAACTCATTTAGCACAATAATAACATTTCCATTTTTTTTTCCCAGCCAAGTAAAAGAAGAAAGCACTTATTTATTTATTTAGCCATATTTTTTTCCAAAATGAAAAGAACACAAACTAAAAAGTCTACCAAAGCTACTTTGCCAATGCCCTTTATTTAATTTTAACAGATTACAAAACTTCCACGAGAAAGAGGATAAGAACCCAACCTGAATTTCTAGATGATTGTGTCATGACATCAGTGTCTTCATAACGGCAGTGTGAGCTAACTCCAATCTCCTTGGGCCATAGAGGGCTTCTCATGAGTACTCTTGCTCGTCCCATCTCCTGTCCTGATACATCCACGCCGGCCATACCTTGATACGTGACATTACCTTCTTGATAAACTTGTAAAAGGAGAGTGCGAACACTGTTGAAATCACCACACAGTACTAGAGGATGATAGGTATTCTCAGTGGACTCTTGATTGGTGTTAGAAAGTCTCTCTATCTCGGCAAAGAGCAAACCTGAATGAAGACAATAAGACATGATTATCTTGACAGTGATAAAAAGGTTAACAAACCCAGGCAAGTATAGAAGCTGATATGAAATGGT